ATTATAGCAAACAAAATGCAAAATTCTCGCTTGAGCCTAGAGTTTACCATAAATGCTGGCCATGCGTACAGCACGGGCCCCCTAATGAAAACATACGACTCTTTGATAACCTGTTATGGTGCTACGGAACCTTGCGCTGGTGCCACAAATTGGCCCCGGGTCCACTAATTTACAACTATTGTCCGTTTTATACATCCTATATCAGCTAGCCGGAGCATTATTACGGAAAATTCTGCCGTTTACATGTTTCAATTTAGTCTTACATAGTTTATCTTAATGGATACTAAAAATACGATACCCAATTTAGTGTTACGAGTCAAGGTATATCCTTCTCTGAGTACCACGGAAAATTTTGTAAATAGTGACATTTCTTGACTTCTGAGTTTAATTGTATTTCGATAATAAATTCAACTTGTACCATGGAACAGAATTCCCATAACTGTCGAATTAGATTTTTTAATGGAATAAAGAAATCCATCGTAACGGAAAATATATTCTTTCAGCAATATTAAATGTACATTAATCATAATGAACTGTACTCCAAATAACGTTGTGTTCTTCGAATCGAATGTATCTCTTATGTTATACGTAACTCCAGCAATTCGTCCCATTGTATGGATAGTAAGTGCATTATTGGCCTCGGCAAAATTGAGACGTTTACATGTATTGTCAGTAAAATGGGGAATCGACGTGCCTGCGACGGCGCCGTAGTGAAATCCCGTTGTCCGCTTTGGAACAAAATAGCGGTTCGAACGCCGCTTTTGTACCGTAGCGTTATACAGTAATCAAAAGTACAAAAATCAAAAATAATTTTAACCAGTGTATTTATTGGTTTCAATTAAGATGTCTTAACAACTTTATATTAAAAAAAAACACGTAACCTTAAAAAAATATGCATTGTTTCAATGATCTTCCAATTTTTAAATGGAGAACGTTGAATTTTGTTTAAATTTTATCGTGAATTCTATTTTACAAATAAATCATGTTATAAAAATAGACATTGCTTTTATTTACACTACTCTCCCTATTTAAGTTAACGTAGTTATCAAATGGTATTTATGAGTAATTTTGACATACACTCTAAACATCTTGACCGCTAGTCGCTGGTCTGTATAGTCGAATGTGGCCATGATTCGATGCGACTTGCGATTCACACCGAGACCCCATCGACCACTGGCGTTGATGATTTATTGCAAATGGCGCGAAAGCGAAAACGGTCGTAAAACGCCGCGTTCGAGCGTTTATGGCGCGTTGTTTGGCCGGCCGCTCGATTACTTCGCGCACACTGCTATTTACGTAAATTGCGTGTTTATTAGATTGTGTTCGGTTATGTTTCATTAATTCAAAAATATGTCATCAATGATTTTAGCCTAGTAATAAAAATAAGTTTATTAAACGAATTGTTGAAAATCGTGTGTTTGGCTGTTTCTTTATTTCGATTACTACTGTCTCTCATTCTCCCTCAAATCGCTGTACCGATTGACTTTTTTTTTTAGTATTGAAAAGCTACTTTATAAAGTTCAGTATTTGTTTATCAAGTCATAAGACAAATTACGCAAGGTGATCTGTTTAGATTACATATTATTCGCGTGTCATAATTACATGATTTATTACAAAAGCTAAATTATTTATTAATACTTAATACTTATACTCCACCACACACACACACCTATTATACTTATCATACACAACTTTATAAACATATGGACATAACAGTGCAAAAACTTATATTGTATTATAACATGCATGCAAAGTTAAGGTAAATTTTGCCCAACACTTTTTATTTTTTCATTAATTTTTTATAACATTGCCCTTACTTTAGGATTATATTATCCTGTGTTGTAAAAGAACTTTACAAGCACAAGCATAAATTTCACGCGGATAAACCCAATCTGTGGGTCACACAAATAGTAGTGGGAATCGAACCCACGACCCCCGAAGCCTCAATACCTTGGCAACTGCGCCAAGGAGTCTTTTTATGATATGTTATATAAGACAGTAACAATACACGAATATGATGGTGTTACAAACAATATTCGCTATTGTTATATTTAAAGGAAAAACATTAAATACTAAGTAATTGAACGCCTCCAACATTGATAGACACGAACGATGACAAAGAATGTAAAGGGTAATCTGCCATCTGCTTATTGTGGATGCATATAAAACATGGGACCCGGTCAACTAATGAGTTACAGCTCGTAGACCGTATCGGAGAGAGCTCCGCGATAAATTTAGCGCGGCTATGAGCAATGACATAACAAAGCAACCTGGGAAGCGGCTCGTGTATAGAGATCGTGCTGGACTGACGGACTCTCTCACGCGTGATATGCCACAGATTAGAATATACAGAAGTGACTTTTCAAAAATGTTTACTCACAGCTGTACATCTACCCCACGGATGAAAAGCCACAGTCTACTTAAACATGTTGGCATTAGCGGTTAACACACTAGATTATAAAAGTTTCTTCATGTTCACCTTAAAGACATAGTGATGACACTTCTTGATTTTTTGGAAAAAAAGCTTTTCATATTTTTTTTTAAATTAAATAACCTTGAATATCTACGTAATACATGTTTATTTTTTAAACGTTTATTGGACTGCTTATTAACTTAGATAGCGTTTATTTGAAAGGTGGGCGCTTTAAAAGCCATGAATTGGAGACACACGAAATGTGAATGTCTCTTGTGTACGTTTTACTAGTTTCCAAACGTTTAGCTAAGAAGAATGTGTTGAATTTTTCATTAGCTGTAGAAATGCAACTACATTCTGCTGTTAAGTACACTGGAAATATGTTTGAGCTTAAAACATTGCCTGTCGCTAACTTGAGGATCTGTAAGAGTGCCATGTTTCTACACATTGCCCACCTATGAATATTTGCATTCTTAGCTCATTAGAATAATAATCTGAGGCTAATACCCAATGTAAAAGAATTGATAATAAGTGATGACAGTTACATTCAGGCATCTGCAAAACCAGTAGGATAACGGATATTATATATTATCATAAATAAGAAATAAGGCCGAAAATCCTCATGGTACAGAACAGCACACCTCAAATGCGTTTTCGCGATAATGTGAATGGCACCTAATAACGTAGACAACCTTTATTTAGTAGAATTTAGTATGTGTAAATATACGAAGAAAATAACAGATTATGCGTTTCTCTAATATTTAACATCCCCTATAGCGAGACCATGTTTTTGCGTCTTACAAGTAGATTGAAATATAAATATCACCATTTTTATGCGTCTAAAACGTCGTAATCTATTTACTCAGTGGTGGCCAAGTATTTTTACTATTTTTATTTGATTTGTTTGGCATCTGTATATACGTTAAACGCGTAAGTTAATCAGCTAATTTTGCACTGTGGACTGAGTCACGACACCGCCTCACGAGGGCCTGGCTCCCAGTTCTCGCTTTGGACTGGCCTCTCCCTACATCCTCCATGACGAGTTCAGTACCGTAAATTATAATTCCGCTCTACTGGCTCAGTTCTCATAGCCATTTAAGTTTAAAGTGCATGACTGCCCGCTGAGAATAAAGACCTAATATACTCACGGTTATTAGGGTCTTAATATCCACAAGATCCCTGATAGCTCAGGGTCCGGGCGCTTTCTTTTAATGCAATATACTGGAGCTACCTTCCATATTCCGGTGCCGGCTACAACGCAATGGTTAATTGTAATTCTAAGTGCCGATTTATAACTCACGGTGAAGGATAACATCGTGAGGAAACCTGCATACTTTCGAAATATAATTAAAAGAAAAATATGAATCTGTGGTGCCGTTGGTAAGCTATTGGCTTTAGCGTCAGGGGTCGTGAGTTCAATTCCCACACGGTACAAGTATCAAGTATTTGTGTGACCCACAAATAATTATTCTGGGTGTTTGTTTCCCAAGGACGGTTGAAGTCATACAGGTTCTAAAATCATAGTCAAAACCGCTAACAACGAGATTCACATGTTGTGCCGACACCACCTATGTGGGATAAGAGCAGGAGGATGATGTTGAACATTAAAATTTGGAGAAAAAGGAAGGAAAAGTTTTTCGCCGCTGCGGGAATCGAACCCACGTCAACCGGATTCGCGCCCAGACGCTTTAACCTCGCTGTTAGCTGATTAAAAATTATTTATGGCAGAAACAAGAATTCAAAAATATTCCTTGCCATATTCCCTATCTTTACACGTAGCTTGTAAGGCCCCGTTTTTTTAGTACCCAGATCACAGCAAATAATTTTTCTCACCTCGATATTATCCAATGCAGTCAGCAATCAATGTTTTCAAAACAACAAAGAAAGGAGGAAAGGAAAGAAATTTCAATGCAGCGTGAGAAAAGACATATAGTTGTATACAATGATTGTCTCGTATCTGGCGCTACGATAGAGGTGCTAAGTAACTTCTGCTGTTGCACGAATGTTCTAACTTCTCCGGGTTCCCGCCGGATAACACTACACCCACAGTTAGTGTAACAACAATCACACCAGTTCGCCCTCGCCTCCGAGCATGGCGAGACCCACACAACGCGTACACTAGGTACAGCCGCGTTCCGGGGCGGTTCTCACCGCTCCCAGCCACCGATTAGCTAAATGCACAGTCGACGGCCGTCGGGGTCTCGGTCCGAACCGCGACCTGGACGGCCCTTAGATGACACACCATAGTAGTTAAACGCACGCATGAGCACATGCGCGACCCTACCCATAGCGGAGGGTCCAAACCCGTGGGTTCTGGCTAGCCCACCGGTTCTGCGTCCGATGAAGCTTTAATAGTCTCGAGACTGAAAGCAAAAACATCAGTTAATACATGATACAAGAAGACTTCTCCGGGTAAGTACTGCCCTGACCTTTCCGATCCGGCGGGTGAATGTAAATTAGCTCCCTTACACCTTATCCAAATCCATAGGGTTACAGATATTGATGGAAGGTTGTCTTCTCCTATAGATAGGAATCCAGGTTCTTACATCGGGAAATGATGTTTTTTCATGTTTTTTCATTCTACAAAATGGTGAACGCTTTGAAAGTAGAAGAGGGGAAACTCATAACTGGTAAGGTTTCGCTATTCTCAACCTTGCTCCAGATCGCTCTCCGATTCGGCACATCGGCGTCGGGCGCGGCCAAGCAGGCGATTGCCCAACTCGTCCGTCCCATCGATCACGCGCAAAGCGGTCCCACCCCGCGGCCCATTGACAACACCGCTGCGAGGCGAAGTGGCTGAAATTAATCCGGCACGCATCATGCAGTAGGTGGTCAAGCGAAATTGGGAAATGGAAAAATCTACTCGAGCCTTCGGCGTAAATCTCGATGAAGTCGTGATGAATGAATGATCACATACAGAGTGACAAGACATAGGAGAAAATATGAAATAAGGTATAGGTATACTATATTGTTTGCTGCTTAAATAATGTGCAACGAGCTATTGGATAATTATAAAATATATAAAACATAAACTCAAAACTCAAAATATAAACTCTAGCTAAATATGAGATAACGTTATATACCTATACGATACGTTTTTGTTTTACATACAATGGATACATACATTTTGTATGTATCCATTGTGCTTAGACCGTGAATAAATTTCTTCTTCTTCTTCATCTATACGTTATTTTACTTTACTACTTAATGTATACTTCATAGAGAAACTGTTTTTCGCTATTTCCTAAATTTAAAATGCAATGGCAAAATTAAATATATCATATTTAATTTAAAACTTAAAGCAATTAAAAAACTAGAAATTTTATTTTTTAGCAGATTTAAGGGGATAAAAGAGACTCTTTTTAAAAGACGTCTTTTTAAAAGGCGAAACCGAAGACGCAGGTTTTAATCCCGCTGCGCCGAGGGTTTTTGGTGCATTTGTCTACAAAATTCATAATTTCATCTTAAGTGCAGAGACTAGCACTGACAATAAAAAAATAAAAATTAAAAAGAATAAATACAGACGAACTCCGGCATAAACGTATCCGAAGCAGAATTGGATCATAATGTTCGAAAGTGAATTGATTGACAGACAAACGGAGCACAATGCACGATAAACAATTATATTCTCGAATTATTGCCATATTCGTCCGGGTCGCGCAACATTGAATAAATTTGAAGCGGCCCAAAGGTCGCAAACTCTTGACTTTGTTTTGATGCCATTGTTAGATAAAATGCTAAGCGGCCCGATCTCCTCCTTGCATCATCGCATCGAAATCAAAATGTTATGATGCTTTTAATGTTATATTGTAATCGATACCGTTTGGTTTTTTAGACCAATGGCCTTTCGAAATAAGAGTGCATAAATGCTATAATTGAGAGGATTCAGAATGCATTTGCGGTAATTATGTCGTCATAAAAACACTGAAAGGATATGTACCCAGAACATTTATCATTAATTATTAGAAATACTTACAGACATTTAAATTTTGTATATATAACAGGTAATTAGACGTATTTAATATTGAAAGTTTTTTTAGATTTTATCGCGTTTATTTTAAAATTGAATTTCTAACGTTTAGAATACTATCATGCAATTATTTACCCGGACTCCAACAGATAGATATCTGCTAAAATAAAATGACACAAGAATGTTTCTATATAAATTATAAAAATCAAAACTTCAGTACAGGGTAGGGAACATTTCGAGCTGATGGTAGCAACCACCCCACTTGTGTGCTGGATGTTGAGATCGGGATGCTATAATTAGTAAGACTATATCTAGGCCCAACAGCACCCTTTTAATAGTTCAAGTTTCGATCAGTTTAAAATCTGCCATGTTAAGATGAATCATCAACTGACGCTAGCTCAGGTTTACAACGAAATTCGGACGTCCAACACCTTAGTCTGACCCGTGACCGTAAATGTTGCAAACTATTCGAAACGTCGGGAATATTAGTTATAAGATAAGACGATATTAAAAAAAATATTTAATAATGTGTAGCGTTCGAGACAATATTATAGAAATAATATAAATTAACTATTGCTTTCTTTCTAAAATATCGTTCAGCACATAAAGCAAATACATCAACATATTATTTAAATTCGTTTTCATAAAAAACCATAAAGGGCGTTTAATTCTTTTAATGTTCTGCATAGTTTAGGGAGTAACAAAATGAGTACAACTAGAAAAACTAAATACATTTGGGGTTAATTATTTGATTGGATTGGTTTGATTGGATCTTAATAATTAACAAGAAATTTATCATAATAAGCGGGCAATCGTCGGTTTCGTGACCATGAACGCTGTAAAGGGTTCGAAACTAAAAATAAACGCGATAAATCTGCAAAAATTAGTTTCATTTATAGTGTGTAATCGCGTAAATACAAGAAATTATCATTTATCGTAATATATTAAAAATGTAACGTTTTCTATCGATCGCTGCTCCTTCCAACTCGATCCCTGAGCTTCCTTGCGGATGCAATGCAACAATGAGATAGGTGCATCTTCAGGTGCTCATGGCCGCTTGCAACATAAGCAAATGCCAAAATAAGGTTAAAGGTAATAATTGTTGGATGTCAAAACCTTTTGGCATTCCCAAACGGCTACGCTTGTGCAGTTGATAGAAGGCAGTTCTGTACAGCTAAGTTCTGAAAATTACCCAATACAACCGTCCCCACTTAAATAGATAAAAATTCTTTATAAAGAAACCTCGCACCATTGCTTTTCGTAACTTTATTTCTTTAGTATTTATGGTGTCAAGTGATATTTTTTATTCTTTGCTATTTTTTAAACCGCCTGCAAAGAACATATGTAAGATAATAACAATTCAATGTAACAACGTGAAAAATGTACGTTTGCCTTCTCTGCGTTTCTAAACCATTCATTCGAATGTGATGAACTTTTGGGCAGATATCTGCGTACTCCCGCAAACCTATGTAACAATTCAAAATATGTTCTAAACCTTTTTTTTTTTCGCGACATTGCAACTTGCAATTTGCTCGAGCAGCGGTAACGTCTTTGTATTATATGTGATGTTATTAACAGTCTTTGATTTAACATCTGCAAAACATTAATAATGATAATGACAAGTTCGAGTAACCTAGATCTTAACTTTTGAAATGGTTCTTTATTTTGTCACCCCTGTCCTCCGAATAACTTTAATTTGCCACCGGATACTTTCATAAATGCATCCTTACAAACGTTTATACGCGTAACATCCTACGGAAGAAGGTTCTCCATACGGGGCGTACTAAGCGAAAAGTTACGTGATTCTATAAATAGTTGCGCAGTACCGTAGGTCAAGGGGAACGGAGGCGTCGACTCGCCGATAGTGGGTCAGTGAGGCGAGCCGCTTCCTCCGGGAAAGGGCACGTCATCCCACGCCATTGCACCTCCACGGCTGCGGTTAGTCCGTTAATGCAAATAGGCCCCGACCCAGGTTCGTGATACCGAGAGCTGTTCCCGTCCAAATCGACGTTTTAGTAACGAATACAAGGAAAGCTTAACTAATTTGACCTGCATGAGTGTAATAAGTTTAAGGGACTTGTTTTAAATTTTACACAAAGATTGAATTAACATTTATTTAATATTTAGGATACATTTACTCGCTTTCATTTAATATTTACTACTTATTACTCATTTTGCCTACTCATCTAAACAGTATTTTACCAAAGCATATATTTCATTTCATCGTCAGCTCGCCGGATTTGTGTTACATGTACATATATCATGAATGTCTAGTAATTTGTTTTAGATACATAAAATCTCCTAGTATTAAAGCCATGGGTTGTTATTCCTACTGCCCATGAAATTCAGTTAGTTCAACATCCAGCGGTCCACGCGTTGTCCGCTCGTTCATTGAGCTCTTCCCATGACATTACCCAATGGTAACCTAACGCTCGATGCATTACTGATATTTACGTCCAGCAAATATAACTGCTGGGACTTAAGCTTAAAGTTCAAACTCCTTTACAGCAGTCCGGCGCATACGACGTTCAGAGCGAGCAACAGAAATAGCGCATCTGAGGCACCGATGGCCCTAAAGATGGACCTCGCGTTTTATTTCCACCAAGGAAGACACGACTTTGGTACGATGCATGGGGGAAAATATGGCCCCAAGTCCGCTCAACCGTATTTCACAGGGGTCGGTCGGGGTCAGCCGCGCGGACATTATTAAACTGTTAGTCTTCTGGAATCGTGAGACGTGACTTATGCAGATGTTTAAGTAGTGGTTTGACTGATAGTTTCACGTGTATGCAGTGGTCGGTTCTCATGTGAATCTTCCTCGCACGACTCTCGATGCTGGCGGAATTAGTTGGAAAGTTTTGTTGTGGCCACATTTGAAAGCCGTCGTCAGGCTCTTAGTTGATGCCTTTGCCCGCGTCTGTAGCCTCGTGAAAATACGAGGAATTCGTTAAGTTGCTGATGTTTGTTACAATTTCTCAAACAATTATCTAATCTATGAGTGACTTAGAATTGTTACAACATTATTTTTTGTACTTTAATTAAACAGACAATTAATAAACGAGAGAAAGACTTCATTATGAAATATTTTCGGTATGCACGAATACAGTATTCCGTAAAAGTGAGTGCGTAACAATTCGAGAATTTCTTGCAGAACCTTATTAAAAACATCATTCATTAAAATATTCGTCCAGTGGTCGAAATTCGACCATAATTAATTATCTGTATATAATAAACTGTCTGTGGGATAATATTTCATACTCCTACGTCCGCGCAATTTAATTATTAATAATATTATAATTAATTATAATATATTTATAATTAATATTTCGTTTTATTATTGTTACTCATTTTTAATCAGGATTTCATATTTTACAATAAGGTTCTATAAATTTCAATACTACGTACTCATTGTACTTAGTAAGCATTTTGAATAATAAATGTTTACTAGTGGCAATTACAAGGATACATTAGTGAATAATATGTAGGAATTAGTTGTAGGAGCTGATTGCTTTCACCGTTAAAGGTGAGTGCGGCAACTCTCAACAACTATTTGTGAATTATTTTATACATATATACGAATTTTTTAAATGATTGTTATCGTTCATAATTTTAATTAAATAAATGCTCATTTAACTACTGCAATCTAATATCACAAACTTCATCCGCTTCTAACAAGGGCAGGTCTCACACAAGACAACAATCAATTATCTAACTTGGAAAGACCTATCTTTTCCTGAGCAGAACAAAAACACGTCGGGCATAGAGCTGGAGGTATGAGGAATGCAATTAATACAGTTTTTGTCCGCAGATCAGGAAGCCAAGAGTAA